ACACGAGATGAAAGTAAATACATACGGTACACAAAGTTTCAAGATAGACTACAAACATATATATACCCACTTGCTAATACAACCAAGCAAATATTATATAGGCAGCCTCCATGTTGACAGTCTACAACATCAAAAATAAAATCGCTTACTACAAAAAAGCCGTTGCTTTGTCTGCCACCACACCACCAGAACATCCATTGCCTGCCGTCTTCACCTGTAAAAACATCACCACCACTGTTAATTAAAAAAAGGAAGAAGAAAAGAAGTGGTAACATTATGGAAAGGTATGTACTAAAGGAGTAAAATAGTTGAACACTTGGTGGGCAAGATTTAAAAAGAAGATGGAGGAATATCCACCTGCTACAGCCACTAAAAGACCATTGCCACATTCTTAACCATCAAAAACCGCTGCCATCTTCACCGGAAACCCATCCCCACCACTCTAGCACTCTGAATAAAATAAAAAAATAAAATAAAATAAAATAAAGGAAGAAGAAAAGATGTTGTAACATTGGCAAGAATTAAAAACATGAGGGAGGAACTTACCAAGTTGCCATCATCTAGAAGGATGGATGGATGGAAGAATCACAAGGACGAAAGTATAATTGTTTCTTGGATGAATAGAACACCGGACAAACAAACAACAATAATGCTTCGTATCACAAGTATATAATCTGAAGTGTGGAGGGAAATGAAAATATTAGAACCAAATTTTGAGAGGGGAATGAAAAATTACATGGTGCCGGCATTTAATGGTGTGTTTTTATAATATTTAATGGTATGGTTTTCAACTAACGTATCAATAATGCACCATAAAAAAAAAATTAAAAAAAAAAAAAACCAATCACACCATTAAATGCTTTCTTTGCTAGCGATGGCAGTCATTTTCCAGAAGTTGTGCATTGCATGACTACAGTTACAAATGTATTCCTCATGACAAACTATGAAAAAACATTGTTAGTTACCAAACTAAAGGTAAGGACTTAATAGTGCAAAATAACAGTAAGGAATAAAATAGAATTTCCAACATTTGTTGTGTGTCTATGCATTCCATTTTAATTTGTAGTTTTATAGAATATGGAATTACGAGGAAGCTAGTTTGGTGAACAGCTTCAGTAATCATGAGCGTCTTGACAAAGGGATATATACGAAAACTATGCACGGTGAATGAGCTTGATGATGAAAGCTTGCTGCTTGTATCCTCAAATATGTTTACCTTTTTTCTATTGTTATTATCTCATGCTTACTGATATAGTTTGTTTAATATTAATATTATTTACCTAATTAATACAGGCGATCGAAATGTGCATATATGGAAAGATTACACTTTCAGGGGTAAACAAAAACTTGTAACTTAAGAACCGAGTAAGCCCATGATTGTTGGAACCGGAACCGAAAACCAATTAAGCCCAAGTCTTAAAAACGGGAACTGAACTGGAATTGTTTATACGGTCCTAACCGGTTCTGGTTCTGGTTTTGATCCAGTTTTTCAGTCCAAATGCTCATCGTTAATTACATGTATTAACAAATCTCTAAATATTATTAAAAGATAAACCTTATGAGATCATCTAAAACAATCTGGATCGTTGATTGTGTTTTCTTTATAGGTTTCACACCCTTAGATCAATTTGCTTACGTTACCTTGATCAAACAAGAAGTCAATCCGTTATATTAGGAAATTAAATGTAGAAATTGAATGAAAATGATACTTGAATTCTTTCCAAACATACAACTACAAAATTGGCTCCTTATTAATGTAAACCTTAACTTTAGGCTATATTTCCATTCAAAATTGCTTTCCAAATACATTATATGGTGAAATCTCGGAAACTATTAATTTCAAATTTCAAAAGTTTCGGATATTTTTATGAACTAATACACTTTTCAAGCATGATATCTTCTATTTTAAGTTTAAATGAGATTTCAATTGATTACCTGCTAATTTTCATCATATTGACTTGTATATATATTTCAAACCTTTTTAATAATCGATTTACACAAACATTATGTCATAATTCCCACGTAGAAAACAAATGCAAAAAAAACTTCAACCTTCCCATCAATTTGATTAGTCGAAAACAGTAAACTCAATGTTAAAATTGGATATTATATATAATGAAACTATGATGTTACATGTGTGTGTATACCTTTGTAAAAAATCAATAGACAAGATAAGAGATGACATGACATAATATAATAGACGGGTTGTACAAAAGGCATGAACGCCCTCATTAGAATGTTTTTTTATGTCTCCGGTAGTAACAAAATAAGAATAAGAAATATACCTTCTCAACAATTGATGTGAGCTTTAAAGTTAAATATAAGCATGTTGTGAAAGATGAAAATAGGCTCCCGTATTCTTTTTTCAAAAAGAATCGGTACCATACATGGGCAGGTAAGAATGCACGATATAATACAAGTGTGCACTCAAGTAGAGTCACCATTTGACCCTGATATACCAAAAACGCGCCTTAGAACCTTCTGGAAAAAAAAAATCAGGTATACTCAAGGACCAAAAATGTAATCTACTCTAAACTTAAGTTATATATATATATATATATATATATATATATATATATATATATATATATATATATATAAATTTTGTTGTTATGCTATATGTTTTTTAGTTTTGGTTCAAAGGCAAAATGGTGATTTAAAAAAAAAAACTAATAGCTAGGTTGTTAACTTAGGCAATCATAAAAGTTTTATGAAACAATGAAACAAGGTCCAAAAACTACAACCTGATTCTTTTAGGGACCAAAACCAAAAAAATCAACTAAACACTGGGACCAAATATGTAAATTCCTAAAAATAAATGAAAAAGCTTTTGTTTATACTGATCCCCCCCCCCCCCCCCCCCCATTTTGAGGTCATGGTAGTAGATTGAGCTTCATTACTTCTACCCCTAATTTGCTATTTGCTTGATAGTAAGAAATGTTCTTTACTACCACTGGATCATTTCTTGCACGTTCAGAATCCATTGATATAATCCCTATTGTATTTCAAATTCAATAACAAAATTGTAATTAATTAATTTCTCATTGAAGTTAATAAATTATAAATTTATCTCACTTCCTGCTCATCCAAGTTTTCTCATTGCTATAGCATCACGAAGTTGATCATATCACATATTTTTCTAAATAAGAAACACTAATATCAACAAAAGAAGCTATTTAATTTTGTAATAAAGTTGAATTAAAAAATAAGTAAATAAATAAATAAGAAATAGAAGAACCTTGTAGTACCACCATATTTTATGTTTGACCTCATCACCATATTTAAATCCTCCCATAATTTGAGGCGTTATGATTAACCAAAATGCAACAATGCTTAGATCTTTCATGCTATCAATAATATGTTGAAACACAAAAGTAGATGTTTTGAAGTGAGGTAATTGTTACAAGAGGAAAAGGGGTAGAATCGTAATTGGCATTTACCTCATAAGGGTTTTTTGTTTTTTTTCATTATGTTGTAAGCTTTGCATGGAGGCTCGATAATTTGCAAAGTAAATAAAACTAAAGGGGTGTTTCTTTTTTCCTTCATTAAACTCTATAGTGAATGAATATATGGATAAAGTGTTCTATACATAAAGATTGTAGATAAAGATGGTAAAATAAAACGCAATGGATTATGAGAAATCACAAAAAATAAGAACCAAACCTAGGAATCAACATCGAACAAAACCCGACTTTCTTTACTTCAAAAAAAATCAACATACCTGCACATACTCAAAACCGTAGAAAGAATTTCACAAAAAAAATGTTATTTCATAAAAAAAGGAGCCTGAAAAAAAAAAGATGGTGGTAAACCGAAGAATGCATTTCAAAATCAACAAAAAAAAAACGAAGATATAAACATAAATGATGAACCTGATAAATGATTTATGTCATATTATCCCTAAAATAAAAATAAAAAAGCCATCAATGAATCTTAACATTGTCGATGATAGTGACAATAACTTAGATTAAGGAAAAAGAGATTTGATATTAGAGATGAAGTGGAGGAGGATTATTAGCTTCGTTGCAGATTTATTGGTTATAGTTTCTTTATATTTAATATTGTGGGGGGTTTTATGTGGTTCATTTTGAACGAACATAAATAAGTTGCTATTTTTTTAAATAAAAAGTTATATTTCGCAATATAGTCATAAAATAACAATGTATTTTGAAAATACATTGTTAAATGTTGGATTATACTTGTGTAGACCCATTTTCACGCATGGTTGGCTATATATAGTTGTTTTACGTGTTACAAGTAAAAAATGTTTGAAAGTACTTATAAATGACAAACAAGGTCATTGAACTAATAAAATAAAAAATGTTGTCTATAAAGTGGTTCTTTAACGCTATATATTTACCTATTTTAGTTTATTTTTTATACATTTCAATAATACCAATAACCCTACTTTTTTATAATTATTTTGTAATATCTATATAAATTTACATTTTATTTATGTGTTCCCCGCGTTTAATGGGGGTCATAATCTAGTATTACCTAAATTTAAAGAACTCAAATAAATCATTATTTTCCCAACAAAAAATAGCTTGAAGTTAGAACTAATAAAAACATCATTTCTCTCATTCTTCACATTCGTGCCTTTTGTAAGTTAAAATAACACCAAATCATGTTCTTATTAAGTTCATTAAATAATCATGTTTGTAGACTAAATCATGTTGTTATTAAGTCCATGCACATCACACAATAAATAACTACCGGAAAATAAATAAGACAAATTAGAAATGGACTACAGATTAAACACCAATATATAATAGAATTTTATGAGCCAAGAATATTATATACAGTACCAACAATTAAATTTTTGCAATTAAAACGGCCGTTATAATTATTTAATATCTTTTTAATCAAAATCCCAAGGGGCATCAAAATTTATATGCATTTTAAATGACTTAAGAATGTCTAGCCTAAAAAAATAATTCAAAGTGTCATCTATCAATTAACCTCGTCACCTTTAGGAGTATGATCAAGCAAGACACTTCCTAATCTTCGCTTTCAACTGAATCACTATCAGACCAATCACTAGTAACATCAGGAAACTTGATATTTGATGGAAAAATGTAACCTTTTGCTTCCAAACGAGATACAATCTACAAAAAGTTCAATACAACAAAATTTTAGAATCAGCTAAGAATACTTGATACAAGTTTATGTAAGAATAATCAATGAAGTACTAGTAATATACTTAAGCTAATGATCATATGATTTTATCATATAATTTTTACAAAGACATAAATTGGCAATGCAAAAGAAAGTCTACGACCTCAGAACAGAAACCCTCAATTTTAAGCTCCTTGACATGGCAAAGATTTAGTATCAACCTTTTTAGCATCTCCTCTTCCTCTTTATCATATGTTGTCTCCCAATGGCCAGTCCTTTTAAAATCTAAGTTAGCTTCAACTAAAGAAGACATATTTAACAAAAAAAAGGTTACACAACACCAACTCACGTTCGATTGTTAGTGATAAAATATTAGGAGCATTGATTTCAACAAAAAAAAAAAAAAAAAAAACTCCTCATATTCATCATCAAGATCCACGTATCCAAATAACACCAACTTCTTAACAATTTTGAAGTAATATTGAGCACCCTGTAACCATAGCAATATTCCAATACCAAAGTTTCCAATAGAGGACTACTAGATAATATGTTTTCAATCAACTCTTCATCTAACTTCCTATGTGAAATACGCAAACTCCTAAGATTTTTCCAACTAATTGCCCCAATCGGATTGATCGAATACAAACTGAGTTCCGTTTCCTGTATTGCATAAGCTTAAATTAAACTCTTCAACATGACACCTTACAGCATAACGAATCCAATTGTTTAACTCTGAGTTAAATCGGGTATTATAAGAGGCATTCAATTTGAAGCTTTTGAGCTTCAGTCGGTTACATTGAGTCAGGGCTTTGTTGACCAACGAAACGAAATCGGACACCGGGTTATTATCAATGAAAATGAGAAAAGGAACCGAAGTCCAAAGCTGCTTCCATCGTTTGGAAAGTATATGCGTTCTAATGACGATTTTTGTGGTGCATAAACGAGAAAGGATTTCCAAAAGCAAGCAATCAGGGCAATGCACTGACTCGATCTTCTTTCTCCTCCTTCGCGACTTTGTGTAAATTTATCAACTTTGGTGAAATTTTAGGTTTATTTGTGTCCTTGCGCCATTTCCATGGCGGAAACAAAGCTCTTCTCTTATGTTTATCCTTTGTCCATTTTAACCTACTTGTAGCATTTATTAATTATGTTAAGTCACTATGTCATATATATATAATTCCTATTTGTAATATATATTCTTACTAATCTATATCTATATACTATCTTCTCTTCTAATAAAACAGTACATTAGATGACACGTGGCACCTCCTTAGTCCCTCTGTCTTTGCTTTTCCCGCTCATATCATCTATGTGAAATTCCTACTTTGCCCTTATGTAGTCATTCCGCTCAAATGTTGTAGAACTCGGTGTATTCTTCAAATTCTCATTGCAATCAATCCCATAATATCAGCAAATTATATAATCTTTAACCGATCATCAAGCATAATCCCATTAAATCAGGAAGATCACACCATATCTGTTGATCTAAACCCTAATCCTCACAAACTTTCTCTGGATTTAGGCTTTACAATATTGAATCAACCACCACCAAGCTCCACTGCCTCCACCTTTTCATCTGGTTTATCTCTCTTCTCTTTTTCTTCGACAACAAATGAATGTACAAGTAAGCTTCAATTTTGATTTTTTGTTTCTTCTTTCTCTCTCTCTCTCGCCTCTCTCTTTCAGGTATGTTTTGATGAGAAGGGTTATATTGGACTTCTGTGAGTTGATTCCACGCCTTTTTTGTTTCCGCAATCGACAGGTTCCGCTACTTCTTCTATTGTTGCATGTCTCGCTTTTCAGGTTAGGGCTCGCCTCCCCCATGTCATTGTTTGAAGCAACCAGAACTCCCAAAAGAAACAATCGAAGAATACCTTCATGTTCATCCATAACATGGCGTTTGAATTACTTCATTATCATCCTTGCCCGTGTATATTTCTACACTTCAAATGTCCACCGGTAATCCAAGCACTCTTGAGACTTTAACATCGCTTCCAATTTATTGATTTCTATTTCATTTTTTGTTTTTAGTTCATAAACATTGTAATGTTTAAATCGGAACGCTCTCGTATTCTTTTGTTTTCTGCTTTGGTTGAATCACCTCAGTCCTTTGTTTTATGATCCAAGGTTTCAATTTATTCATCTCTCTCTAAGTTAGATCAAACCATAAACCCTAGAAATTACTTTCTCCGTTTAGCCACCCAATGTTCTTCATCTTTCTTCTTCCTGATTACCAACCCTAACCCTTTGCTGCGTTTTCTTACAAGCCTTCAAGTTTAATCTACTCCTCAAATGTATACCATCGCACATGGATGTATGTTTTATCACTTACATTCTTTTTATTTTTTGAGGAATTTTCTGTTGTCAGTTTTTTGATTTCCTTTACGTGAAGTTATGCTCTACTCTGTCTCTTCTTTTCACAATTCCCGTATTGAAACATAAACATAAAAATTCAGAACCTCTGTTATTCTAAATGGATATCGTTAAAAATTTATGGGACAATTGTTTCATCCAGTGATTTTTCTCTAAATAAAATCTGGAATTCATAATATCAATATAGAGTAAAGTAGAGTGTTTTTACCTAAAATCCACAAATTACCTTGATTTGGAAAGGATGGAGCAATCAGGTCCTATCAGGATGTTGTTAGAACAGAGATGAACAGTCATGCCATAGAAGAAAATTGAAGAATGTCTAAACCTTAAAAGGAAATATCTAAAGTTTCATGGCTATAAAGATTCTGTTTTTTTAGTTACAAAAGGATTCACTTCTTCTCCTCCATACCTATAGTACACTTGCTCTATTTATACCTAGAAATTTCTTAAATTTATACCTTTCATGAAAACAATTTGTCCCCTGGAGTCAATTTATATCTTCCACAGGGGTGTTTTGAAAAAATGTTATCCATTTATAACCCTAATTTGTTTCTGCTATTACTCTTTGCAGGTGTCCAACTCGTAGAAATTATAGGGTACTTATATGTTTTCTTCACAATCTTAATATTTGTGATGCATTGCTTAGTCTTTTAGCTTTAATTTCACAGCCCTAATATGAAAAGGTTGTTAGGCTTTTCAATGGAGCCAATGATGTTTCATCCAGGGATTATATTAATGACACGAGTAGATTATGCCAATAAGGTAAGGTTACACTTGTTCATTCTTAATATTTTCATTAAGTCCCTTAATTATTATATGGATTAGCAACAAGTTCCTTTTTTATCCATGTTTGGAAGTACAGATAAACACTAATCTATGCGATAAATTCTCTATTAGTCCCTACCCTTCACTATTTTGGGGCCCACCTTCTAAATTTGTGGGTGGTAACTGGAATGGGAAAGATGAAAAAAGTAAAATTGTTTCTATTGAAGATGGAAGAACTTCTGATCGTTTACTTAAATGGATTAATACACAATTAGGAAGGTATACAAGCGTTAAGAAGCTATATTGTTTTGTGTATACAATGTTGATGAGTTTCTAATTTTAAGTACATGTTTTACTTTTTTACGTAGTTCATATAAATTGGAAGATGAAAAGTATGAAAATGATGAGCTTCTTCAATCAAACTTCTCAGACCCTGGACAGGTTTGAATCAATTCTTCATTTTTCTATAAAAATAAGAACAGTGATGAGTATGCAAATTTACTTGATTAGGAATATGATGAGTATGCAAATTATCACACTAAAAGTATTTTGTGTTCATGTTCTGTTTATGTCATTTAATGTCCCCCTTAATCTCATTTTTATGAATGTAAGGCTTTTGATTGGTATTATTTTGACCAGAATACCCTTATTTTTCATAACTGTTATCATATGCTTAAACAAACTATAATAACAAAATTCATTTGAACATCTCTGTTAATTGATTTCTTCAAAGTAGGTTGCAGCCATGAAATTTATGCCTAATCAATGAATGATCTAGGAGGTTTGGAGTAGCGTTTTTCAGCCGTATTGCACCCATTGCTTCTACAGTTAGTGGAGCATTTAGGTAATTTCTCTTTGAACTATTTCTTGAACGTCCCCCTAAGTAAAAAAAAAATACAAATTGCATGTAATAACAAAAAAAGGTTTTTGTTAATCATATTGACCATGTTATTCTATTTTTAACTATTACATATTTATTTTTATGGTTTTTGGTTTAACTTTAAACAACTACTATGAAATGGGCTTGGTTTAATGGAACAAGGTCTACTTGCTTAAATGTTATAGCTCTATATTGTATAAAAGTAGTAGAGAATTGCAACTGAATGGTAGTAAAAATCTATTGTTAATCTATGTTCTTGAACATTTTTCACTAGTTCTTGGTTTTGGTTATCAGGTGGGAGATGTCACCGGTAAGGATTTGAATGCTGATAAGCTCACTGAGAAAAACATTTGTTATCATTTATTAAATTACAATCTATCTATGGTATAATAATTACAATTCTTCGTCTCTACACATTATAATAATAAACTTTTGAAATGACAATGAATTTTGGCAATCTCTTCAAAAAGAGTACCAAAATAGCACCAGAACTAAAACCTTCATGAGAATATGCCATTATAGCAAACAATTTTGGTAAACCCAATAGAATTTTGCAATGAACTTCGAATAAAACTCCAAAGATGTTAGCAACTAGCAAGCTTATGGGAGGACAATTAAAACCGTGACATAACAACACCTAATAGTAAGTCTTAGATTTTAGGAAATCCGCTAGAGATCAAAATGAATTTGTTTAAACAGTCTACCATCAATAGTAATGAACTTTAGGAAATCCCCTGCCAACATTAAGAAATTAATTTGTTTTATATTAAAGCATTATACTTTCAACAGTATTTTTTAAGGCATTGTCGTTTGCAAAAAGTTCTTTACAGTAAATTCATTTCTTTTTTGTTAAAGCTTGGTCATATATATATGAGATTAAGAAAAATGGGATCACAAATACCTAGGAGTCACAGAACATAGAAGTACATACATAAATTACTTATTTCCTGTTTTCCTAATTTATACCTAGGAATAAGAGTAATTCCAATGGGTGAAGATTTAGGAGTTATATCAACGAAATAAACAGACAACTAATAATATCAATGGAATCACAAACTTTAACAAATATTAGATCCCACAAAAAAATATTGTTTGTTAATGAATAAACTTAGACGACTGTATGTTTTTCCATTCTTGGCTCCACCATATTACATTTCATAAATAAGTATCGAATTATCTTTTATATGAATCTAGTCATTTTATAGCTAATGGTAATTAGTAGGAGTATTTTCAAAATTCCTAAATAAAGAAAAAGTTAGTAATATAATATTAGTTATTTATGACAAATATAATAAACTTTATAATAAACTTACAGATGAAAGTCTTTATAAATTAATACTTTTTTACAAAACTTTGATTGTTTATTACAATTTTAAATTATCAATAATATTTTTCTTTTTAACCGTGGTTTCCTTTGGATCCGTCTCAATCTTGCTGGAGGGTATTTTCAGCATATATATGCCTTGTTGCTTCTTCTTTCAATTTTTATGCAAGTTAAGATTTGTTGCTACTCTCTTTAATTGGTTCTCATAGATGCTTAGATGAAAGTTCATGACTCAAGTTAGAAAGACATCAAGTTTTTGTACCATATTTATTATAAGTCATTCACACAAATAATTTATTTATTTTTTGTAAGTTAAACTTTCTTATTATTTTTTTTTCTAAGAGATGTTTTGAATGAGTATTTTTTTTACGAAGATAATGTTTCTTTTGGTTTTGCAGATGGTTATATTATGTGTGCTGATTTGAAAACACAAAAAAGTATTAAAAGCACAAGTGGATTTGGAACTTAAATGTAACTATATCATTATCTTTGAATATTTTTTAATTAATAATGGACGATACTAGCAATATTGGTAATAATCAAGTTGGTTTTTTTAATTGTAGTCGAATAGTAAGTACTTAGCATGTTGTTAGTTTTGTATATACTACAGGCCATTATTTATATAAAATATTATAATTATAATATTGTCGATTTCTGAACTTATATAAGAGAAACCCTTGTATCTTTATTATATATTCAGTAAGAAAGACAATAAAAACACTTACAATAATCTAGAGATATAGTCATTTAATATATTGATTACTTATAAATTATTAGCAAAAGTTGCTGATCTTTAATTTACCAATAATCCACAAGTATATGGTGCCATTTTATAAAGGAAATTCTTCTTTTTGTAAAATCATTATTAAAAAGAAATAAATGGAAGAGGTATCTTATAATGAAAGAAAAAAGATGGAGACAATGGAGTTATAGATTTATTGGGATGGTAAGTTACAATAGGAAAAATGATGTTTTAGCCAATAAACTTTTTTTCTTCCCACGCGCTCCCGTGTGGTCGATCTTACAACTCGTATATGTTTAATAAGAATCATACACCAAAAGTAAGTGTTTAATAAGAATAAAACCTTTTCTACAACCCACGCGTTTGTTTTCTGAGTGATATTATGTTGCATTATACAAACTCATGCGTTATATAAAATAGGGGTATTTACATGTGTAATTAAATACTTAAAATATTACAAAGTTATTAAAAAAATACAACATTACAATGCATGAGTTTTTCTAAATTAATAATATATTATTTTATCATATAGTCAATTTTTTAATTCTATTTAAAATTATCACCCGTGGTATCCACAGGTTTTAACATAGTATATTTATATTTATACTACTATATAAAGTATTTTGGTTAAATTAGGGATGGCAAAAAACCCCATACCCAATGGTGAACCCGAAATTCGCACCCGTTTTGACTGCCGAGTTGACTAGGGATGGGGAATCCCCGAATAAAAAAGTGGGGATGGGGATACCCCTAATCCCCAACCCTAGACCCGCCCCCGATATATATATTAATATTAAAAAACAATACAAAACATATATTAATATATAAAAGTAATACAAAACATATATTACAATACATAAAATTTGATCCAAGTAACATAACTCATTAGCAATTATTTGGTTGAAATTATACTTTTTATTATTCTTTTATCTAATTTAAACTTATGTATAGTTTTCTTCTATCTAGTTTATCTATTTTACCTCAAATATCGCTATGATAATTTTTTTCAATTTATTTTTCATGTATTTATTTAACTTTGGTAGAAATTGAGTTTACATTTTTTATGCAATCTATGAATATTTTTATATTTTTGTAAATTCTTTAAGCTTATGCTGGTAAAATTGAAATTTAGAGTTTTTATTTATGTAAAAGTTTTCATATTAAAACAGGAAAATAAATCCCCGATTCCTCGCTGGTACTCAATAGTCCCTGTTGGGGTGGGTGGGGATAGAGGTTTATTTATATTCCCCGATGGGGATGGGGATGGGGATTGCAATTGGGGGATAGAGATAGGATTGGGTCCTCTGTATTCCCCACCCCCATTGCCATCTGTAGGTTAAGTATTAATTATAATGTTTAATGTACAATCAATCTATTATGCAAAGAACACTAATTATATCAAGAAATCAAACATTGAAACCCCTACCACAAATTGAGGACGTATTTATGAATAATTACAAATTTTAAAATTCAAATTCTCTTCATCGATCGCTCTCTCTGTAAAGATCTCATTATCTCTTCAAAATCATCAATGTCTAATAAAAATCAACATTGTAGAATATCTTTGGAAATTAAAACCTCTTGAATTTTTTGATTGTTTTTTACATTTCATTATTTTGCTACTTTGTTACAATTGATGGCAGGTTGACTCAAACATTGTTGTTTTTTGGTGTACAATTTGGATTTTGAGCTATGTGATTTTGATTTTTTTGACGGCTTGAAAATGTAGGATGCCCTAATTATTCTCTTTAACTCCTTATAATCACTCACTATGAATAAATTGGTAGCATTGATTTGTGTCCATAATCAGTTTTGGTTTTACTGAATGGTATTTTAGGTATTTGACAAAGAGTTGAGTATCTAATGTTCTTTACTCTGTTTTTTCAGCTTCATCAACTGGTTCAAACAGCCTGTTGTTTTGGACGAAATTCTTGGTTGATCATCTATTGGAATCACTGATTCCATTCCAACAGAAACAATTTATGATATCCATGTAAATAAGAACCACTAGTAATCATAGAAGTGGATTCCGTGATTCCAACTGAATGCATACAAATGGAGTTCTATTGGTATCTAAACTTACTTATTCAAGTATATTATGATGTAATTGAACTTTTCATATTTGACTCTTTTTTGTTGAAACCATATTATCTATGTTTAATGAGACTCAATCGGGATGATTATGCTGAAACAGTTGCTACATGATTCGAGAATGAAAATGAAAATGACCTTGTGGTGCGTGTATTTATAAACTACCAACAATATTCTAATGTATTGTTGTTTGGTTATACCTTTTAGTTACTAATCTTTGTTACGTTGAATGTAATTGTCTTGTAGATACGAATTTTGGATATTTTGTAAAGTTTACTTTGATAATTGTTATGTAGATACGAGTCACAATGGCATAACAGGTACAAAGTATGAGGTTGATTACATTAAAGTGTGAAAAATGGTTTTTTGGGTAGATTCAAAATAGTTGGTTGGCCATAACTAGCGGAATATATCCCCAATATACCATTGCATAACAACACGCTTACCAAAACAAGAAGCATGAAACTTTAAGTCAATTGTAATTAAGTCCATGTTAGGTAACTTTTCATAACCACTTGTCTGGAAGACTACAAAAAAAACATTATAATTGTTATTCAAATTGGGAGATGATTTGTACACAACAAATTTTCTCAGTACACCACAATTGGTGCTTTAAAATGTTGTACTGTACAACTCTATAAAACATTAATTGTTGTGTATGTCAAAACACTGTTGTGTAGGAATCATTTCCCATTCGAATTGCTCAAGAAAATGCCACAACTCATAAAGAATGGATATTACAAACAAAAACCAAGCTTCGAAACGAAAATAAATGAATGAGAGTAACAACTAATAATGCATTGACTATATCAAGAAAGATCACAAGAAACAGTAGATTGATCAATACTTTAAAATAAGAAATGATCCAAAACACAAATGAGAGGACCCAATGAACCCAAGTAAACCTTACAAAAACAAACAGAGAAATATGAAAGTATTTCATAATAACAATAATGCCTAAACATGAATCCAAAGCATCACCAATCTCATGGAATCACTTTGAATTGCTCTCACTCTCACACTCAAACTCAATATGAAAACCATCAGGAAACTTGATATTTTATGGAACAACGAAACCTTTAGCTTTTAAACGAGACAGAACCTACAAACAAAACAATACAGGTGGAAAGGACAAAAAAAATTAGAATCATGAATTGCATATTTACATGTATGATTAATCATGAATAAAGAAAACTAATTAAAATATAGCTATGACATCTCGTAAGAAGTAACAGAGAGAAACCTAAGAAGCAGAAGCAAAGACACTCATGCTCCATAAGTGAGTTTTAAACAGCAAAATGAGAAAACGCCGTATAACAATTAATGATTAAAAAATAAGAATGTTTAGGTGGGTTTGTTTGGGGTTTCTTCTGCAATGCATATTTTGGATTTGCAATTTCATAGTGATAACCAGGACTTGAAGCAGGTAATCAGTTGATTGGAGCTAATGATAGTTAAAGGTCAATCTTTAATTCAGTAACTACTTACCTTCTTTATTTTTTTGACTCTAAGCAATCAGAAATCATAATCATAATCATTTTTAGCTAAACACTCAAAATGTACATTTTATCAAGGGATAAACAATAAAGTACTAATTAATAAAGCTATTGATTCTATAAATTTTTACAAAGATATAAATTGTCAGAGGAAAAGAAATTTTACCTTAGAACAGAAACTTCCAATTTTAAGCTCCTTGACATGGGATAGATTTAGTATAAATCTTTTAAGCATCTCTTCTCTACGTGCTCTCCTCCAATGCCACAAGTTTGTATAATCTAACTAAGCTTCAACTAAAGAAGACACATTTACCAAAAAAAAAAAAGATTCAGCAACACCAGATCACCTTTGATTGTTAGTGATAAAACATCAGGAGCATTGATGTCAAGAATATCTTCAAGGCCTTCATAATCGTATTCAGGTTCATGGTATCCAGATAACACCAACTTCTTTACACTTTTTGAAGTAATATTAAGCCTAAACCGACCAAAACCATAGCAACGATCTAATACCAAAGTTTCCAATACAGACTCCCTGATAATATATTTTAATTAAAGCTTCATCTAAACTCCCACAGATTATACAAAAACTCTGAAGATTTTTCCAACTAATCGTCACAAATGGATTAAATACACAGCCTTCTAATGTCAGCTTATTAAAACATGAACGGATTACAAAAATTTGATCTAATAGAAATTTACCTTGTAACTTTAAATTAAGCTCTTTAACGTTACAGCTTATAGAATAACGAATCTGATTGTCAACGAAGGAAACCAAATTGGACCGCGGTAAAATAGGATCTGAGTCTATAAAGACGAGAGTATGTACCTAAGATGTTTCCATCGTCTTGAGAGCTTGCCTGTTCTAATGGTGTCTTTTGTTGTGGGTAAACCAGACAAGATTTCAAAAAGAAAGCAATCTGACAATGCACTGATTCGATCTTCTCCCCCCTCCTCCATGATTTCTTCAAACTTTATCCGTTTTGTAGGAATTTTAGGTTGATTTTGACCTTCTACTACCATTTCCATGGCGGCAACGAAGTTCCGCTGCTTTCCCTCAAGAAATTTTGCAACAAACCCCGAATTAGGTGTAAATGTATACAAAACTGTGAAATAATGTTTGCTTTCGCCTCTAAACTTTAAAAAGTTACAAATCATTCCCTATAAAAACTGAGAATTCTTTCTAACTATTAGCCGATAATTTAGAAAAACCATTTAGCTAGGAAGATAAAGTAGAGATAAAGTTGTCTTAATCAATCCAAGTTGTGACACTAGATATCTATAAGGTTTGTAACCTAAATCAAAATTGGTTTAGTCAGTTTGGACTTGTTTGACTTAAAAACAGATCTAACATGAAATATGACGTTAAAAAAAGACATGTGTCATGGGATATCATGAGCGGGTCAATTTGAGAGCCAATTATGGCACATTAACTTGTGATTCAAGGAGGATTTCTACTAATGAGACATGTTGCTCAACTTTAAAAAATGAAAGCACTACTGGTGTGAAACACAACAAACGTTATTTTTCCAACGAAATTAAGGTTTATGATGTTAAGATTAAGGATTTCGATAAATGCACACAATACATAATTATCTAGATGATATGAGATGAAAAGGCTAAACAACAAGTAGTGCTGTAAACGAACACGAACAATGTGTGTTCATGCTCATTCGTTTAAGTTGGCCGAACAAACAAACGAATACGAACGGATAAATGAACGAGTTTTTTTTGTTCATGTTTGTTCATTTAAGAAATTATTGTGTTCATTCATTTATGTTCATGAACATATTAAATGAACATAAACAAACAAAGATAAACAAACACAATTGAACATATATTAATATAGTAATATACTAAAAAACAATTGAACATAAATAAACTTAAATGAATATAAGTAAACTTAAACGAACAACATAAATAAAATTCCACGAATATAAATAAACGAACAATATCATTATTCATGTTCGTTCGTTTAACTAAACAAATGAGTATTTTTTTTTAATGTTCTCTCATTTATTAAATAAACAAACATAGACGAACTTCCCGCCAAACGATTCATGAACACTGTGTGAACGTTCGGTTTGTTTGTAGTCATAAAAACATGGAACACAAGGATTTAAGGTTCATTTTATTAGAGTAATCAAGTTACGTCCACTATAGAACTAGAGAGAGTTTTTATTGATAATCTTCAATACACAAACATTTAATATATATTAGGATTACAATCAATGAGACATATTTATAGAGATCATTTGACCCAAAATCGTTATGGATAGTCCCACGGGCGCAGTACATAAAAGATACTTATGTGTTTGCATAAATTCGGTTTTGACCGGTCTTTCCACAAGCAGTTCTGGATCGGTTTAATGCATTTTGATCCGATATTTCAATTTGTTTTAACTAAATTTATAAGCACCCACCTATAACATAAAATGAAACATAACTTCATTAAAATATTTCAAAAATACATGAAACATCAAAATGGAAGAGTTTTGGATGCCAAAACTAACCTACTAAACTCGTAATAATAATAATAAAGTGTTGTTATAATATTTTGTTAAATACTCTTCATTTTTGTGGTCTTCTACTTTGGGTTCATCTTCATAGGGTCTCCTCAATACCATCGTATTCATCTTCATCTTCATCCTCATCCTCATAGTCATTGATGTCGTAAGTCGGTTCTAGAGGCATTGATTTGCCTTGTTCCCATTCTTATTCCATTATTTCGAGCTCGACATTGTCTTGATGTGGGTCTTGAAGTGTTGAAAAGTGTTATATACATTGTCATTGTACCAAAATAAAAGAAAATTTTATTGCCATTAGTTTTAACTTTCCATTTTTAACATGTTCATAAGTTGGACATCAAAAAGGTTTTAACTGTGTGTAATCTGTAGCTTTCATGGATCATAACTCAAACATAGTTTTCTTCTCAATTACATGTGATGGTGATTAGTGTTGGTGATTTTAGTGTCACTGTGTGATTTTATGTAATTGGAACTAACATGTGAGCTAAAGGGCTTTATAATTTGTATTCTAATATATGTATGGGTTTGTGTGGAGTGCACGCATGTATAAGATTGAATTAGATGCCGGTTCAACAGCAAGTCGGGGGTTCGAGGCAACGCCCCTAGCGGGATCCAAGGGGAAGAGCCCCTGGCTTCCAAATTTTAAATATGGGAATATAGTAGGAAAATCGAATTCTTGAGGGTGATTATGGTAAATTGACGAAATTCATCAATTTTGGAAACCCTTGATTTCCTCATTAAATTCTAGATTTTCTGACATGCTTCCAAAGGAACCCATGACGGCAACCCTAAGAGGCAAACCCTAAATCTCGTTTATATATAAATGGGTCTTCTCTTTGAGAAGAGGGACATAATCATTAGCTCTCTTTTCTTCAAACGAACATATAATCCTTCTAACAATTTGGCTTACGATTTCTGTGCCTAGATTCGTAAGTGTCCTCTTGGATTATCTTAGGCTGAATTTCTTGCAACCCAGGCATAGGGTAGAAGTATCAGTTCAGAAAATGTTCACACGATCCAAGGGGTATCCAGGTCTCCAACATAAACCCTAATTCATCCAACAATTGGTTAACAATATAGCAAATAATCAAGGTAGTCTCCGCCTAAAAGGGCTATGGAACTTAGAATTTGAAGGCATACATCAGACCTTCTCCACTATAGTGTTTCATCCTTTTGAATACACCATATTTTAGGTGTATGGACCACTATGTGATGTTGAGTCATGCTTCCTTTTAGCAATAGGCATTAAACTATTCTAAGAAAAAGTCAAGTCCATTATCCATGCAATGATACTTTACCACCAATCTTGATTGTTTTTCAACATGTACTTTCCAATTTTTGAAAGTAAAAAACAAAAAACTACTCCATGTTTTAAAAAAGAAAGACCATACCTTTCTTGAGAAATCATCAATAAGAGTTAGAATATAGTTATGTCCGCATTTCAAAGCAACTCACAATGGTCCCCATAAGTCCAAGCGGACATAGTCAAGTGATCCGGTTATTGTATGAATACTACTCATAAAGCTCAGTTGTCATGATTTGGTGATTAGGACTAAAGTCTTTTTTTACTATGACATTCTTTGTGTGTGCATACGCCTGATGAAAAGAAACATAATACAATCTAATTGAGATGAGCATGTCTAATTATAAAGCACATACCAAATATGTTTACAAAATTTCAACTTTAGCCCTTGACTTTGAAGTATTGTTAACTTTAAAGACAAAATCCACTAATTTCAGTGAACAATAAATCATATTGAGTCTATATTAAGTTTAATAAACTCAAAAAACAAATACTCTTTTTCAAACATTTAATTGTTCATTGTTTCAACTCTTTTCCACGTTCTTCTATGAAATGAACTCCTAATTTTTGCTTGCTTTGGCGTCAGTTGTGAGTGAAAGGTGACATAGAAATGGTTGTCAGCAGAATCACATATTGTAAAGGTCGGTAGTTGTACCCACCCGCACATTGCATGGTGGTGCCATGTCACCGCAGTTATGTGGTGAACACCACACTGTAACATCCAAAATTTTAAACCAATTTTTTTAAGTAAACAACCCAAAACCATTTTCATAATAAAATGCAAGTATCAAATTGTTTCATTCATCAAAGAAAAGTCAAAAACATGAATCAGAGTTTATAGAAATCAAAACATAATAATCTCCAAATGCGTGTACAGTCAAGTTGCATCGTTCTCTTTGCCAAAAGAACAATTAAAACACATGCTCTAATTATTTTTCTACCAAATTCTAATGATTTCACAAATTGACTATAAAATTGTTCGCTTTTCTTGACCAATCAGTAAAAGTTGTCATCAACACCCTAGAAGGGATAGGAATCATTCCATGGAGACATTATGTGATAAACTAGACCCTTCTATCTAACCTCAGCCTTTGGATTGTAACTTGGATTTTCTTAGATTTATTTTCACATTTTACAAAATGACAAATAAAAACAACATTTTTCTTGGCTAATCTGTAAGGAATGTCAATCACGTCAAACTTAGGAATGAAATCATATCAAGCCAAAATTACATAAGAAACTATAAATCCTACCAAAATCCAAATGGAGTTTCTTATATTAAATTATGATGTTTACAAAAAGATCAAAATGATCACTTACTATACAAACATATCTTGCAAGTTTGGTCGTCCCGCACTTCTTTATGATTATCGCATTGCCATATTTCCTAGTCAAAATCCCATCTCCCATGAGTGGGCAAAGCATGTTGACATTGATAAACACTTCGTACGAAAAATATCATGTGTTGCACAATTTTTTTAGGTGTTGAACTACTAGAAAAAACTCATTTTTTAAGACAGTTTTCATCACAAAATCCGTCACTAAAAGATCACCGTTTACGCTAAATTTACATTTATCGAACTTTGTGACGGCTATGATGGATTGCCGTTGGATTTCCGATGGATTTGCACTAAATTTACATTCGACGATAAATTTGAAGAGTAACACATGCTATGTGCCGGGTCCGCCCATGGTACCCAAAGTCAATGTTAACATGTTTTTGATATGAGTTGTCAACCCTTTTTTTCCTTTTCACTGAGTTGTCAAATCTTCAATTATTTTTTTTTTTAATTTCTTTGACATTTCATTGGAAATTAAAAGAAATTACTCATTTGTATCGAAGTTTCTTATTATAGACAGACGGAACTTTTATTTGTTAAGAGTTTATCGACATGTTTTTTCCTAATTGAGATAGCGACTACACAATGTCACCTATCAAAGTTTAGTAACATTTAATAGATAGAGATTTGCGTGTTTAACTCTTAATAAAGGACAAATAATATTGTATCAAAGTACAACCACACTTTTGCCTTTACAACATTTGTCATTTCTCAAATCCTATTGATCATACCTTGTTTGATATTATCTGTTGAATTTTTTAGGTTTAACTTGGAATTATGATCTTTGATTTAGATACTTTTATATCTAAGGTTGCATGTTTAATTTTTTACAGTTTGTATATTTGACAACAACAATCAATTTACATTATGTTTACATAGAGTGTTGCGATAAAAACTCAAATGAACCTCACATGTTGACCTTATGAAAATGTTAATTTGTTTATTTAGTTATTGTTTTTTCAAGTCGATTAGACTATTCCATGTAGT